TTGATCCCAATGCGCCAATCAGCAATGGAATCACCTTGACACCCACTTTCTGCATTCCAAACAATCTTGCCATCCCAAACTCAGAGATTGAGAACATTACAAAATATTCTAATTTGAAAATTAGAATATTTTGTAATGTTCTCAATCTTCTTGTTTGCTATATTACTGCCATTTGGTATAGCAACATTAATAATATGAGTTTTTTATGTCTTAACCTAGTGCAATAATATCCGGACGGCGATGGTGTATGTTTTGTTTTTTTTCTACAGTAAATATAACAAAAGTACTCCATTTTCAGCTGATCAGTCTCAGGTAGAGGATAACATGAGGAGTCAGGTACTTACTGGAGCGTTACAGGGAGTCGATCATTTTACCTGCTTCTTTAGAGATCGTATATAAACACCCATGAGTCCGTGAAAGAGATGAAATACAGACTACCCAAATGAATAATAATAATAATAATAATAATAAATCGTAGGGCCGTAAATATACTTGTGTTATTGTCCATGTGAGAGACGTATAGTCTTCTCTCTGATATCTCAGTGGATAGATGCCCCCCTACGCCTTGATCTAGTGTTAAAATCCTCTTGTCATTCGCTTCCTGCATTCCAAACAATCTTGTCATACCAACTTTCAAATTCGAGTAATTTGTAATGTTCTCAATCTTCTTGTTTGCCATATTTGTGTTATTTGGTATGGCAACATCAATAAGATGGCAGTTCTTGGTGGCTTAACCTAGCGCAATAATATCCGAACATCAATGATAGATCACTGTCTGGTTGAAAATTATAGTCCCAGAATATTGTGAACTTTCCAACAATTATTATTATTATTATTAGTAGTAGTAGTAGTAGTAGTAGTATTGTATGTGGTATCATCTTGCCTGAGATTAATTTTAAGCGCCTAATTACCAAATCCCCGCCGCGGACTATGAGTAAAAATGGCACTGTAGGAGAGTTATCCATGCGCATTTGGCACGTTTCGTCAAGATGGGAAGCGTTTTGCGGATGATATATGCAGTTCCGCACAAAGTAATCATTGGAAGCTCTGAGTGGCTGTTGTGTCCAGGAATTTTACTGAAATGATTTTCGGTACTACCCAATACTTAATTACAACATAAATAATTGTAATTTTAAGTTTCCACATTTTTGTTACTTCGATTTGCAGGTCTTTTTTTTTCAGTTCTTTTTTTAGATACATTGGAATCCTCTGGTTAAGTCATAAGAATTAGTTGGTAGGTTCCATTTTGAAACCTTTTTATGACTGGTCTATTTGCATCAATTTTCCTGTCCGTGAGGATTGGGGAATTTCACAGTAGAGTCACTCCATCACCATTTGTGACATCATTTGGGTGACGTTTGTACCATGGATACGGTACCTTAATATCATAGTTTGAACAGACATGCCAACAAGTATATTGTACTAAACTGTCATGTCTAATAATGTATTCTTTCTCAACAAGATCTGGACACTTTGATATTATGTGTTCAACAGTTTCATTAAATTTATTTTTTATTTATGGCAGGATTTCAGGCATCTTTGTTGATTTTAACCTTGTAAGCATTAGTTTGATGACATTAATCCTGTGGTAGCATAATAAGACTTTCTGTCTTCCTTTTAAAATCACTGCTTCTAAGCCACTGATGTGTTTGGCGAACATCGATATGTGGTTCATCCAGACGTCTTGGGTGCTTTCCTTACAAGATCCCCTATTTTTGTTCAAGAGTTTTCATCTAAGCAGCTTTCGCCAGTAACTACATTTTCCTTGTGGCAACGGTTATTGTGATGATTATTAGTTGTCCAGTTGCTGCAACAAGGAAACTTTAAGAAGAAAGTAACCCAAACTGTAGCAAGAAAATAATCCAAAAATATATACCGTATATTTCCGCGTACAAGACGACTTTTAAATCCACAAAATGACCCTTAAAAATTGGGGATTGTCCTATAGTACAATTCTAAAAAAAGAAACCTTAAATTCTAAGTGATGTTTGTCGATAGGCTAACCTTGCCTTCGGTGAGATAACCTATAACGTACATGAAAGGATACATATTACCAAATAAACTGGCAATAAAAGTAATAAAACAATTTCTACCTCACATATTACTGGCGTAATTCGTTCACATCGAATTTTCTAGCAGCAGCACAGTTGTTCGATTCCTTGGTTACTTCAACAACTTTCAATTTAAACCTCACTTCATATTTAAACTTCACTTCATATTTAAACTTCACTTCAAATTTAAACCTCACTTCATATTTTCTTTGTTTTGCTGGTTGTCCCATCTACTATTATCGTACATGTCATACGGTTATTACCAGTATTTTGTGATTGTCGATGAAGTATAAGTAAATGGCCACGAGTACACCAGGCTGTTTGTAAATGTTTAGATATAGAAGAAGAAGAAGAAGAAGAAGAAGAAGAAGAAGAAGAAGAAGAAGAAGAAGAATCAGCATTCGCAAGAGATCACGTGATGAAACGTAAACAAAACAATGGTTTCCCATTTGGGGAGAACGTGTTTAGGAAAAACATGATATAGAATCGGTTTTGTTATATCGTTTATTTTGAATTTCTAAGAATGAAGTAACGGCATTTCCAATAATAATCATCGTTATATAATCAATAAGCAGTCGATTTATACTACAGCTATAGGTTTGGTTTGGTTTGGTTTGGTTTGGTTTGGTTTGGTTTGCGACATATCAACCACAATGGGTTATTTAATGCCAACAATTTTTTTTATTGCTGATAATATTTTTTTCCAAAAATCACTATAGCTGGTAATATTCTTTTCAAAAATGTATAGTTGGTAATAACTTTTTTTTTTTTTTTCAAACATGTATTGCTGGTAATATTTTTTACAGAGTATTTCTGGTATTAAAACCTATTTTTACATTTACATTTTGACCCCAGTTTGAGGGGCTAAATATTTACCAATAGTTGGGGCCATAACAGGTGCTACCACCCCAGGTCAGGGTGGACCTGAGAAAACCAGAAATTAAGAGGTGGTTCCACGCTCCTCAAAACCTCCTGATCAGAGGCCTTGCTGTCGAACGTAGTTTATCGTCTTACCCAGGACGCGGATGTAGTTTATCGTCTTACCCAGGACGCGGATGTAGTTACCTTCTTACCCAGGACGCGGATGTAGTTTATCGTCATACCCAGGAAGCGGATGTAGTTTATCGTCATACCCAGAACGCGGATGAAGTTTATCGTCATACCCAGAACGCGGGTGAAGTTTATCGTCATACCCAGGACGGACAGGTATAGAATAAATTAATGAAAATTTGCTATTTTTTTGACCTCGTCTTATCTAAAAGTCACCTTATACGCGTATATCTATATTTTCTCCAAGAGGAAATAAAACAGTTTTTTTTTAGGATAGCCTCCCAGGACTTCAACCTATACAGCGAGGCAATTCTGAGAGAATTAGAAGTCCAACCAGGATTCATTATTGGCGGCCACAATCTTACAAATATAAGATATGCAGATGACACAGTGCTGATGGTAGACACGGAAAGGAAACTACAAAATCTCCTACAATAAGCTAGGGAAGGAAAGCGAGAAGAAAGGACTAAGTATAAACTACGAGAAGACAGAATGCATGGTTATCAGTAAAAGGTATGAGCCCAAAATGCAAATTATATGTCTGGAATACTAAAATCAAGCAGATACAGAGATTTAAATATTTGGTAAGTTTTCTCACAAAGAACAAAAAGATATATGAAGACGTATTAGGATGGCAAAGGATAGGTTACATGTGGAAAGCTAGGAATATTATTAAGAGACAGAAAAGTTTCGTTGGAACGAATGAAAAGAGTACTGAATTGTTACACGATATCTGTCCTCCTGTATGGCAGTGAGTGCCGGACAATCTCCTCAAAGATGAGAAAGAGACTTG